TTGTAAATGAATCAGAAAGAAGCTACAGAATAAAACACACTCGGAGGCACTAGAAAGAGCTTTGACTATGGAGTCAGAGGGGTCTGGGTTCAAATTTCTCTTCTGATACTACCTATGCAGTGACTTGGCACTAGTCACTTAAGCTTCTTGGGCCTCAGTTTCCACATCTGTAAAAATGAGGGGTTTTGGTCCAGATAGCCTCTAAAGTTAATTCCAGCTCTAAAGCTATGATTCTGATATGACCCAGGTCAAAGATCACCTTTGATGCTGACGACTTGTGTGAAGCTGAAAGTCACTAAACCCCCGGGCCTCAGTTTACTCACCTGTCAAAAGAGAGAGTTGAACTAGATGACCCCGAGGGTCCTTTTTAGGTCTAGATCTGTGCTCCCACTGTGTAATTGTGGGAAGATTCTGGGAAACTCTAGATTTGTGGGGAAGAGATATTGGACTTTCAGGATAGATTCCCTTTATAGACTGTGGGTGTCTCTGCCAGTTTGTAACAAGCTTCAGTGAGCAAAATGTTGAGATCAGGCCCTCTAGCCAAAAGAAAAAAAATTGCCTGAAGGTCCCATTTGCCCTTTGTTCATGGCCAAAGCAACAGGTTTCTGTAGAAGGGGACCTTGTCTTTCAAGGGGTCTCTTGCCCTGCTAGGACTGAGTAGCTGCTAGGTATGCCTTTGTCTAAGAAGCCTGGAAGCCTGCTTAGGTTCTTAGAAGGCTGAAATCTGATCATCAGCATGGAAGTATCTTCAAAGAAGAGGTTCAGAAAAACAGGGAGGGGAAGAGATTTGAAAACTCCCCTCTCTGGTTCTACCAGGATCCTGTGGTTTTAGTTGGCTCCCAACATCTGTTGGTATTGCCTTTAGCTGATGCAGAAATCTACCTGCCTGGTGCAATGGAATAAATTAAGTACATGTTGCTCTGTGGTCAGAGGACCTAGGTTGTCATCCTAACTCTGGGCGAAGCCTCCCTGTGACTCAGTTTACTCCTCTGTAAAATGAGGGGGGAAGGTTTGGACTAAATGATCTCTGAGGCCCCTTCTAGCTCTAAATCTAGGAGCCTATGGGGTGGGTTATAGTTCCAGCTCTTCCACTAACTAGTGCTAAGTATTAGAGAATTCACTTCTCTCTGCCACTCATTTTTCCCATTTCTAAAATGAGGGGGGTGGTTGAGATCACTAAGGCAACTTTCAGTTCTACAATTCTATTCTAATCTAACCTCTGCTCAGGGAGATTATGAAAATCAAGCAAGTCTAAGAAAGAGGTTGTCATCCAACCACCCACTCACCCATCCATCAATCTATCCATTGAATCTATTGATATCCATCCATCATAGCCAACCCTCTGAATCCATCTATCACATCCATCCCTCACTGAAATCCAATTCAATTGCAAGACATGTCATTATCTCCCTGATGTCATGGTCCGCTTTGAGAACAAAGGATAAACCACACACAGCCGTCCACCCGTTGTTTCCATCATATCCATCCATCTATGCGTCCACTATATGCACCTATCATATCCATCCATGTATCATAACCATTGTATCCATCCATCCTTCCATCCCATCAATCTATTCATCCATCCATTCATAGTATCTATCTCTATGCATCCATCCATCCATTATATCTATTTATTGTATCCATCATAATATCCATCCATTGCAACCAACTATCATATCCATCCATCCATTGTATCTATTTATTGTATCCACCCATAATATCCATCCACTGTATCCAACTATCATATCCACCCATCCATCCATCCATCTATCCATCCATTGTATCCATCCATTCTGCATAGTCCTGGGGGAGTATATAGAGTGTACCTACTCAGCTGGGCAAGTGGGCACTTTTAGAAGGAGGGGGAAAACACCTATAGCCCTATTGCTCCTGGTAACACTATTCAAAGGTCGGGTGTCCTGGGTAACGACCAGCCCTGCTTTGTGGAGGATTTCCTACCATGGGGACAGTTCATTGTAGTGGAAAGTCCCAAGGTAACCTACCCATGATTTACCTGGCAGTCAGACCAGGAGAGCAGACAGCATCACAAGAGGGGAAGCCCATCAGAGCAGGTCCAAGCACCAGGCAACAAGAGAAGGTCTTGGCAGGTAGGAGGAAGCCAATGTCATGGAGATTTGGCAATAGGGGGCCAAGATTCATTGGATCACACATTTAGTGCCAGAAGGGATCTCAGTTCAACCTCTCATTTTACAGATAAGAAAACCGAGGATCAGAGAAGTCAATTTACTTGCCTAGGGCCACACAGATAATAAGTGGCAGAGCAGGGATTTGAACTCATGCCCCCTGAAGCCAAACCCTCTGCTCTTTTTACCAGGTCATTTTGCCTCCCTAGTTAATGTTGGGGAGCAGAAGCAGGAGCCTAGCTGCACAGCCTGGGGTCCAGAGATAGCACCAGGAGGGAGGGGGGATTAATTCAATTCAATTTAGTTAGCATGTATTGAGTACCAAGCACTATGTAAATTAACTATGAGGATACTAACATACAGAGAAAGAAAACAGATCCCGGCCTCAAGGAACTGCATTCTACTGGCAATGGGGAGCACCCTAGCCTTGGAAGCTAGGGACCTAGCTCACGGGTAGCAGCTTGGTATAGGGTGAGGAGCGCTGAATTTGGAGTGAGAAGACCTGGATTCAAATCCTGGCTCTGCTACTTGCTGTGTGACCCTGGGCAGGTCACTTTCACTTCCTGGGCCTCAGTTTCCTCATCTGTAAAATGAGGCATTTGGACTCAATCAGGGGTTGTTCATCTGTTTTTGTGTCATGGATCCCTTTGGCCATCTGGTGAATCCTGTAGCCCCTTAGGGGTTCATAGACCCCTTTTCAGAGCCATGTTTTTTAAATGCATAAAATAAAATACATAGGATTAGAACAGAAACCATTTATGCTGAAATATAGTTGTCAAAATAGGAAAAGTTCCAAGTTGATAGAGCCCTGGAAATCTCTCCATCAACTCCTTGGGGGTCCATGGACTCCAGGTGAAGAATGTGCACTAATGCTAATGCCTTCCCTCTCTTATTTCCTGTATATCCCATAAGTAGCTCATTTATACATTTTTTAAAATATTGTCTCCCTCATTAGACTGTGAGCCCATCAAAAGTAGGGACGGTCATTTGCCTCTTTGAATCTCCAGTGCTTAGCACCATGCCTGGCACTTAGTAGGTGCTTATTAAATGCTTTTTGACTGGCTGACTTGACAAAATGGATTCTAAGATCCTTTCTGGCTCTAAGTTCTATGATATTTTACCTCTCTCAGCCTCAGTGTCCTCATTTCTAAAATGGGGCTAACAATACTTGTATTTAATGACATTGCAGGGTTGTGGTGAAGACTGTGCTTCATAAACATTATAGTACAGAAATAAAAACTGGTCTTATCCAAGGGGAGAAATCTTGCCCAATTCTTGCAGGGACTTTTTGAAAAGGACTCCTCGTTTGTTTGTTTGTTTCTTTCTTTCTTTCCTACCTCTCTCCCTCCCTCCCTCACTCTCTTTCTCTTTCTTTCTTCCTTCCTTTCTTCCTTCCTTCCTTCCTTCCTTCCTTGCTTTCCTCCCTTCCTCCTTCTTTCTTTACTCTTTCTTTCCTCCCTCCCTCTTTTTTTCTTCCTTCCTTCCTTCCTTTCTTCCTTTCCTTCCTTCCTTCCTTCCTTCCTTCCTTTCTTTCTTTCCTCCCTTCCTTCCTTTCTTTCTTCCTTCCTTCCTTTCTTTCCTCCCTTCCTCCTTCTTTCTTCACTCTTTCTTTCCTCCCTCTCTCCCTCCCTCACTCTCTTTCTTTCTTCCTTCTTCCTTCCTTCCTTCCTTCCTTCCTTCCTTCCTTTCTTTCTTTCTTTCTTTCTTTCTTTCTTTCTTTCTTTCTTTCTTTCTTTCTTTCTTTCTTTCTTTCTTTCTCTCTCTTTCTTCCAATGCAGAGGAGATGGGAGTAAGAGGAAGTTAATTTTTGTTAATTTTTTTTGAAGACAACTCCATTTTTTAAAAAAGAAAAAGAGATTCCTGTGCAATCCAGGATCCTCTCCTATCCAGTCACAGAAGAATATTCTTTATATCCACTGAGATTCCCTGACTCATTCTTACTCTTCCAAATACTTCTTTCCTGCTCCCTGGAAATTCCATGGAGACAGAGAATGCCATTCTGGAGGCCAGAGAAGGGCAGCAGATAATCAAGACACAGTGCAGTCTAGTGGGAAGAATGGCTGGTTTGCAATCAGATGATCTGGGTTAGAATCCTGCCTGCATTGTTTATTCCCTGTGTAACCTTAGACAAGTAATTTTAACTTCCTAGGTCTCAGTTTCCTCCCCTGTAAAGTGAAGGGCCTGAGGTCCCTTCCAGCTCTAAATCTATGACCCTAGGATCTTAGTTAAATGATTTCATCTTCCTGGGCCTCAGTTTCTTTGCCTGTAAAATGAGGGTGCTGGTCTCTGAGGTCCCTTTGAGGCCTTCAGCTGTGATCTTGTAAAGTCACATAATAACTCACTTCTCAAGGGCTTTTAGGCTTACAAAGAGAACTGGAGGAAAAAGGGGAGAATGGCCAAGGACAGGGGCTCAGGGCAGCTGCTGAGTTAGAGAATGAGAAGTTCCTCCCTGGCCCCAGGCTCCTGCTTTCTCCTGAATGCAGATCTGCCTCTTCATGCCTCAGAAAATGTTATGCCTGTTCTTGTTTCCATTTCATCTCAGGATTAAGATCCTCAGGAGCCCATGTGTCCCCTTCAATAGCATTGGGACAGAGGAAAGAAAGAAGGAGGGAAGGAGAGAAGGAAGGAAGGAGGGAAGGAAGGAAAGGGAGGAAAGAAGAAAAGGAAGGAAGGAAGGAGGGAGGGAAAGAAAGAAGGAGGGAAGAAAGGAAGGAGGGAAGAGAAAGAAGGAAGGAAAGGAGTAAGGAAAAGGAAAGAAGGAAGGAAGGAAGGAGATAGAGAGGGAGGGAGGGACAAGTGGTTCCCCTTGCCTACTGTATATTCCTTCCCCGCCTCTGCTCCAGAGAATCCCTAGCTTCCTTCCAAACACAGTTCAGGTGCTCCCTCCTACACTAAACCTTTCCTGATCTCTCAAGATGAGCTCTCTCTCTCTCTCTCTCTCCCTCTTGAAATTACTTAGTATGACTTTCTTTGTGCACATGTGGCATCCTTCCTTAGCAGGCAAGCTCCTTGAAGACAAAGACTAATTTTTTTTTTCTGTGTAGCCTTGGCATCCAGCAAAGTGCCCAGCATACAATAGTCACTTAATTAATGCTTGTTGAACTGAATTCGATTTTTCTTCCAATGAGTATTCTCTATCTATCTCTGACTAGTGGATGGGAGAGCAGGACTACATGTGGAAGGTTCAGCTTGGTCAAAGACAGGATGGGGGCTTCTTCTTCTCAACCTCCACCAATGGTCCCAAATGAAATAGTTAGCCAGTGTGCTGGCAGCATCTAGGGCAGAGTATGGTTGACAGGGTGGCATACAATACAGATTCTCACTGTGCATCCAGGGCTAAAAAAAGAGACCATTTAATTCCATTTCTCCAGCCTGGAATCTTCCTTTCTCTCCTTTCCTTTTTCCCTCATCTCTCTTTTCAGAGGCAGAGCTACATCAATAAAGGATGGGTTAGGACGGGGAGTTCAGAGGCTTGAAAAGCAGGTACTTATGCCTTTTTTTTCTTGCCACATTTAGCTTGGCCTTGGTGAGTGACAAGCTGTATCAGCGGAAAGAACCCCTCATCAGCTCAGTGCAAACCAAAGTGAAAGGCATAGCAGAGGTGAAGGATGGGAACGCCAAGATGAAAGTGATGGACACAGCCGATTACACGTTTCCTTTGCAGGTGAGGGTCCATGCCCCAGAATGTGAAGAGTAGAGGGCTACCTTTCTTTTGCCATGGCCCCAAGAACCTCTCCCTTTCTATCTTGGGTGGGAGCATGGAGGTCCTAACCTAAGTTAAAAAAAAAAAACCCTCATAAAACCTTAACCTCATTAGTACAAGATGGAAGAGGTGGTTAGAAAGCAGAATCTCTGAAAAAAAAAAAAAAAGACCTGGGGCAGCTAAGTGGTACAGTAGATAAAACCCTGGACTTGGAGTCCGGGAGACTTGAGTTCAAATGTGACCTCAGATATTTACTAGCTGTGTGACTCTGGGCAAGTCACTTTACCTCTGTCTACCTCAGTCTCCTTGCCTGTAAAATGGAGATAATAATAGCATATTCCCCCCCAGGGTTTTTGTGAGGATCAAATGAAATAATATTTGCAAAGTGCCTGGCATATAGTGAGTGCTTAATAAATGCTTATTAATTTAAAAAAATCCTGGGTGTTTTAGTGTGAGAGAGCACCTATTTAAGGTGCTCAGTTGAGGGGCATGGTGTCCAGGACCAGGCAAGAGATCATTCCGCTGCGTCCTATCCTAGTCAAACCACATCTAGAGTTCTGTGTTCAGTTCTGAGTTCCACATTTTAGGGAGGATGTTAATTAGCTGGAGAGAATCTGAGTGATGGAAATCAGGATGATGAAGGCCCTCAAGTTCATGCCATATGAGGGCTGACTGAAGGAGCTGGGATTGTTTACCCTGGATAAGAGAAGGCTTGGTTGGAGGGAACTTGATAGCTCTCTCTCCAAATGTTTGAAGAGCCGTTCCATGGAAGATGGATTGGACCTGTTCTGATCAGCCCCAAAAGGCAGCACTAGGCACAATGATTGGAGGCTGCAAAGAGGGTAATTTGGGTTTGATCTGAAGAAAAACTCCCCCCCTCAAAGTTAAATGGAAACATGCAAAAATAGAAGCTATCTCAAAGAGGAAAGGGCTACTCCTAAAGACTAGGGGTTTTCCCCCACCCCAGAGGTCTTCAAGTAAGGGTTGAATGACTCTTTGTCAAAGACATAGAAGAGATTCCAATCTATACCTGGTTAGGTAGAGGTTACAATAGATGGTTTGTGAGGTCCCTTCCAACTCGAAAAGTCTGTAGTTGGGTGATTCAAGAATCTCATGTGGGCCCCACCTATGTCCAATTCAATTCAATCCAACATAACAAATATTCATTAAGCACTGACTATGTGCAAAGCACCCACTGGATGCTGAGGATATAAAGACAAAAACAAAAAAGACTGTCCTTACCTTTAAGGAATTTACATTGAACTTGGGTGGGGGTGGGCTATAACAGGGACATAGCTACGGAAATAAAATGCGTTTTGAGGAGGCGGCACCATGGAGGGTGGGGAAGATTCCTAAACTGAGCCTTGAAGGATGATAAAGATTTGGGGTGGGGCAGAATTGAGGAGGGAGGGTATTCCAGACATAAGGGACAGCTTGGGAGAATGTAGGAAGATGTGACGTGGAATAAGGAGCTTGGGAAATGGTCCAGTTAGGCTGGAAAAGTGACGTGTGTGAAAGGGAATAATGTGAAATAAGGCTGGACAATATTAGAGGATCATAGGGTTAGAGTTGGGAGGTACTTTAGAGGTAATGGGTTCAAGTGCTCCATTTGGAAGGGAGGAAGAAAGGAAGGAGAGAAGGAGGAATGAGGAAGGGAAGAAAAGAAGAAAGGAAGAAAATAAGGAGGGAGGAAGGGAAGGAGGAAAGGAAGGAAGGAAGGAAGGAGGAAAGGAAGGAGGAAAGGAGGAAAGTAAGGAAAGAGGGAAGGAGGGAAGGAAGAAAGGAAGGAGAGAAGGGAAGGAAGGAAAAAAGAAGGAAGGAAGGAGGGAAGGAAGAAAGGACGGAGAGAAGGAAGGACAAAAAGAAGGAAGGAAGAAAGGAAAGATGAAAAGAAGTAAGGAAGGAGGCTAGAAAAGAAGAAAAGAAGGAAAGAAAGAAAAATGCATTTATTATGTACCTAATATATGCCAGGGATTGTGCTAAGCAATTTACAAATATTATCTCTTTTGATCCTCACAATAATGCTGCGAAGTAGGTGCTTTTGTTATTTCCATTTGACAGTTGAGGAAACTGAGGCAAATAGCAGTTAAGTTGACTTGCCCAGTGTAACACAACTAGTAAGTGTTTGAGGTTGGATCTGAACCCAAGTCCTCTTGATCCCAGGCTCAGATAAGGAAAAGGAGACGGAGAGTTTAATAACTTGCCTTGCGTTGAACAGCTGGTGCTTGAGGTGGAATCTGAATCCTGGCCCCCTGACTCTGAGCGCAGTGTCCCAACTCCTATCCCATGCTAGCTTTTAGAAAAGGTAAGTTGGATGGGGGCAGCTAGGTGGCACAGTGGATAGGGCACTGGCCCTGGGGTCAGGAGGACCTGAGTTCAAATCCAGCCTAAGTCAGATAACACTTACTAGCTGTGTGACCCTGGGCAAGTCACTTAACCCCATTACCTAACCAAAAAGAAAACAAAAACAAAAAAACAAAGAAAAAATAAGTTGGTGCTACCTCCAGAAGCCCCCAAATGTCAGGCTTAGGAGTATGTATTGAATCCCGAGGCACTAGGGCTCTGTTTACAGTTATTTAGCAGATAAGTGACATGCTCAGATCTGTGCCTTAGGAAGATTAATTTAGCAACTGTGTGGGGGAGAGTTTGGTGAAGGGAAAGTCTAGAAGCTGGGAAACCAATTAAGAAGTCATTATAATAAGCCAGGTAGAAGGGGTGAGTGGCCATATGGGTAGAGAGACAGGAATCAATGCCAGCAGTGTTGTGAAGATGGAATGAACAGATAATACTCAGCAAATGACAGACTATTGGACATGATTGGATATTGAGGATCCAGAGAAGTGCAGATTTTGAGAGTTGAAAGAGACCTCCCTGGCCTTTCGGTATAACCCATGCATGGAGGAACCCTCACTATAACAGAAAACAGCCAACTCCTTACATGACAGACATTCAGATACTTGAAGATGGCTATCGTGTCCCTGCCCCCCACCCCAAGTCTTCTCCTGGCTAAACATGCCAGTTCTTTCAACTACTCCTCATATGTCATGGACTTAAGGCTCTCACCCATCCTGGTAGCCCCCTTCCAGTTTGTCAATGTCCTTCTTAAATAGTGGTACCCAGAATTTAACACAATATTCCAGATGAGAGAGAGTCCAAATAACTCACCCAAGGTCACGCTTGGAGAGTAAGGATTGTAATGAAGATCATGGGGTCATAGGACCATAGATCCTCTGACTTTAAAATATAGCATCCTTTCTGTTCTGGGTTTTTTTTTTGTTATTGTTTTATTTTTTCAAGCATTTTTCAGTTACGTTCAACTCTCTGTGACCTCATTCGGAATTTTCTTGGCAAAGATATTGGTTTGCCATTTCCTTCTCCAGCTCATTTTCCAGAGGAGGAAACTGAGGCAAACAGAGTTAAGTGACTTGCTCAGGGTCACACAAGTATTAAGTGTCCCAGGTCAGAATTGAACTCAGGAAGATGAGTCTTCTTGGCTCCAGGCCCAGCGCTCTGTGCACTATGGCGCCCCCAGCTGTACCAGTAACCTTTGCAAAAACAGTTTCAGTAGAGAGGTAAGGGTCGGAATCACAGATGCATAGGGTCGGACCGAGAGCCAGAAGGGACCTCAGAGGGCATCTCATAGGGGTTGAGAAGCGAGTGGGTGGTGAGGGAGCAACATGCCTCTTCCTCAGGGTTTAAAGTTGAAGAGCCGGGAAATTTGGGATCATAACTTGAGGGGATATAGGCCAATGTCCAATGAGGTTTTTTTGTTTGTTTGTTTTGTTTGTTTTTTAAGACATGTGAAGGAAAGAGCCATTAGGTAGGGAGAAATTGAAAATGGGAGAGAAAGGGAATGACTGAAGATAAAATATTCTAGGAGAGATATGAGGAAACAGAATCAAGGGAAGAAACTGCTCTGTGTGTGTGTGTGTGTGTGTGTGTGTGTGTGTGTGTGTGTGTGTGATGGGGAGAGGGGTCCTTGGCTAAGAAAAGCATCACCTCAGAGACTGAAGCAGAGGACAGGATGCCTGGAGACACAGAGATTTTGAGATATGAGTTTGGACTCACATTCCACCTCAGACACTTGTACCAGTTGTGAGACCCTGGGCAAATCACTTAACCATTCTGTGCCTCAGTTTCTTCATCTGTAAAATGAAGGCATAGGACTTGACCTCCAAGATCCCTTTTTGCTCTAAATCTATGATCTTGATGATTCTGTGAGATGAAGACCTTTATGATGGATGGCCTTGATCTCCGGTATAGTAGGAGGCAAGGCTGTCTGTTGAGAGATCCCTGGGGATGGGGGAAGGACCCTTGGGTACAGAAGAGAATATAAGAAGTGGCATTCCTAATATGGCCCAGAAGATCAATTTGAGGGTGATTATTTACCCTACCACAGCTCCTACGTTCTTGTCTCTCTTTTCTTTCCAGGGAAACTCATTCTTTGTGATGACTAACTTCATAGCCACAGAAGGCCAGACACAAGGACTTTGTCCCGAGGTAAGGGAGGGCTGTGAGTTTTAGGGGTGGGGATGACAGATGGTCTGTCATGCATAGGCCTGTCTTCTAGCCCGATGGAGTAGAGAAAGGCATCTCTCTGCATGTTGCGTTTTCAGGTTGGAGGTTGGGGGAGAGGCCTGGAGGAGAGGGCTGAGAGGGGGAGGCTGGAAGGAATTTATTGGGAAAGGTGAGTGTGGGACCACATTAAAGAATGCTCCTAAGGACTCAGAGTGTCCATGGCTGGAGATGCAAAGAGCCCAACATCTACATGAAACACGCTCTGCTTATCTACATTCTCCTGGGGGAAAATGACATGTATGTAGAAAATTAAATTTAAAAATATAAAAAGAAGACATAAAGTAATTTCTAAGGGGAGGTACTAGCAGCTGGGAGAGCAGAATCAGTTTCCTATAGAAGTGGCACTTGGGTTGAGCCTTGAAGGGGAGAATTTTAAGAGATGAAGGTGAGGAGGAAGGGCATTCCAGGCATGGGAGTAGCCTAGGAAATGATAAGACATTGGAGACACAGGGAGCAGGCCGGTTTGGCTGGAACAGAGAGCGCAGCTGCAACCACTCCAAGCCTCAGAGTCGTCATCTTTAAAATGGGTATAATAAGACACACATTGCCTTTTTCACTTTTTTTTTTGGTTGAGGCAATGGGGTTAAGTGACTTGCCCAGGGTCACACAGCTAGTCAGTGTCAAGTGTCTG